TGTGAAGGTTCATAAGGAGAAAGTTTTCTCCAAGTGTGAGAGACTTTTGAGAGAGAATTTCTAAAAATGAAACTCCAAATCCATCAAAAGTGGCCAGCTACAAAGGAATAGGGTATATATAGGAGTTGGGAAGCTTGTGAGAGAAACTAGGTTAACTAGAGTTCAAAGTAAACCATGGTATGGTTACTTTGAACTCTAGCCGCCCAAATTTGAATTTAAAATTCAAATTTGGGTGCCTTGGCTGGTCACACTCACTTCACACACACTCATATGGACCTTGTGTGCATTTGGAATGTGATTTAAGTGGCAATTCATTTGGATTTGAGGCATGTGAATGGCACCTAGGTGTGACCATTCATGCATGCTTCAAATTCAAATGAAATGCTAACCTAAATTACATTCTAATGCATCTAAGGTTCTCTTTACCCTAAAATGTCCTAAACTACTCGATCTAAGATACAATGTAAAAAATAAAACTATAGAATAATTCCTAAAATAAAAAGACAAAGAAAATGAGACCAATATTGGCTATGTAAAGCCTATGGTCAAAAACGCCCAAAATACAAGGCAAAATGTGTACAATGCAATAGTCCTAATCTATGTACAAGATTGCCAGACCAAGCTTCAAGATATGATGGCCCACGTGAAGAGTAGTTTGAGCCTAGAAAGTCCACCATCCTCCAAGCTAGTCAATCTCTCATGTATGCTCCTTGCCATGACCCTAGTAATTAGGCCTTTTAGCCCAGTAGACCTTTATCCTTGGTTTGGGTATCCTGGACGAAATTGGGTGTCTACAACTGCTTCTCTTTACTTGTCCTTTGGATGGCTAAATGTTGCTTTTCCAAAAGCAAGTAAAGACGTAAGCATTTCGTCCAGGTCTTCTCTTTTCTTCTTTTCCAGGTGCTCCACATTGCTTCCTTTAGATAGATAGTGTTTACCTATACCCTTGCCCCCTAGAGCGATTAAGTGTTGGTGAGTGCCTCGTCAGGTGTAAAGGGTGGTAAACTGTGCCATCTAAGCCTCTAGCTTGGTGTAGACGCTTCTTGTTGCTTCCTCTTACCCCATGGCAGTGTGATCTTTATTTGCAGCTCAATGTCGAGGGAGTATGTTTTAAGCTTAACTTCTCCAAGCTGGGCTGAAGTTTGAGATTTCAGCCGGCCAATTGTTAGTTTTCGGGGTCTAACAACCCTTACTACTCTTGTACTAGTTTTGAGGATCTAGCAACCTTTACTGCTCTTATACTAGTTTTGAGGATCTAGCAACCTTTACTGCCACACTACAAAATGTCTCACAAATCTCAAGAAATACAAAGAGATAGAGAGAGAGAGCGAGAATTTTTGACTACCTTCCCCGGGAGTAGTGCCTGACGTCAAATATGACCAGAACGGTTTGTTCTGATTTCGGAACGACCCGTTCAAGACCAATCTATTAAGAGTAAAATTTGAATTTGGAAGAGCCTGTTCTAGAATTAGAACGACCCGTTCTGAATTTGAATTTTACTCATAACAACCTATGTCAGAATGGTCTGTTCTGGACTAGGAACGACCTGTTCTTGTCGTAACCCAAAAAATTCTAAATCTTACGACCAATGATTTGGACTACCTTTTTGAAAAATCTCATTAATTAAGGAATGTCCGGATACTAGACTAATCCTCAAATAATGGTTTTAAAAAATGAGTTCACGGAGTCACCACCAATGTTTTACTCAAAACATTGGAAAAAGAAAAGATTTTGAAATTAAAATAGAGGTGTTCATAGCCAAAGTTGGGTTCGGGTGCGGTTACGTGTAAGAAAGGTATTAGGCACCCCTACAACGCCCTAAATTGGTACCCTATGATGAAATTAGCATAATAATAAATAACATTTTAAATATCTTATCCCCTTTTATTATTTAATATTATTTGCATGACGAAAAATACCTATTATCTACATGATTATTTATTGGTATATAAGAATTATAAATAAATAAATAAAAATGATAAATAAAGAAATAAATAATAAATGAAATAATAATAAATAAAATAAGTAAAAAGAATAAATAAAGTAAGAATTTAGAACCTCAAAAGCAAGCCTTTTATAAGGGAATCTTCCCAAATGCATGCGGGGCGTGTTTTGGCAACCCTTCGCTCTACAAAAACCTCACTATCACTCAAAGGTTTATTTAGAGAGAGGGGAAAGTTATGCAGCTCCTTCCTCCAAATCCTTTGGCAAAAGGGTTTCTTATATATCCAACTAGGAGATAAAAGCATAAGAGAGCTATCCGATGTGGGACTAAATTTTATAAAAATATCATCTTTTCCTAGGCACCATGAAGGACCTCTAGAGAACTCGTTAACCTTCGAATCGTGCTGGTTTTTTTATGGTATCCTCACAATACACTAATCTTCAATTTCAACAGTTGGACTGTCAAAATTAGTTTTGTAACGAGAGATGTTATCATAACAAAACTGTTGCCCAATGTGTTGGTCCCATCGAGGGTTGTTTCTCTCGCTCTAGTAGACCTTTATCCTTGGTTTGGGTATCCTGGACGAAATTGGGTGTCTACAACTGCTTCTCTTTACTTGTCCTTTGGATGGCTAAATGTTGCTTTTCCAAAAGCAAGTAAAGACGTAAGCATTTCGTCCAGGTCTTCTCTTTTCTTCTTTTCCAGGTGCTCCACATTGCTTCCTTTAGATAGATAGTGTTTACCTATACCCTTGCCCCCTAATTTCGGTCGCTATTTTGTATTTTTCTTGTAGTGCAAGGTCTTCCATTACAATGCGACATTGTAAGTATAAATAAAATATTGTTATTGTTGACTTTTAATAAACTAACTTTAGAAATGTCTCAAGCAATACATACTTAAAGCTATGAAGACAATTTATATTAAAGATAAGTTGGAGTCAAACTTTAGTTTTATGAGTGCAAAATTAAATATCAATCCTCTTTTAAAATTTATGCATAATAATATATATATATATATTGTATTTTTCTATTATGATTGATATGATGTTAGGCAAACAAGTACTTTTATACAAATTTTATAATATTGTACATATCAACTTATATTAAAGACAACTTATTTTGCTATGATGGTTGATTTCATGTTAATCAAATATATATATATATATATATATATGTGTGTGTGTGTGTTCGTGCGTGCATGTATAAAATAAACTAACAAATTTAGGTTATTAGACTTCTGTGTATTATGTCACATGTAAAAGTTGGAACTACTTCAACCTTTTCTAGTAACACGTTAATAGTTTTTAACTTTTTTTTAGTGTAATTTAACACTGACTAGATGATAATATAAATAGAAACAAATATTGTTATGATTGACTTTTAATAAACATATTATAAATTAATTTTAAAAATCTCTCAAGCAACACATACTCAAATATCTAAAAATAACTATATTAAAGATAAGTCCGGTTAAACTTTAATTCTGTGATTACAAAATTAAATATTAATCATCTATTTATGTTAAAAAAATTATGCATAATAATATACATTTAATGTATTTTATTATTATAGTTGATATGATGTTAACTAAATAAGTATTTTTTATATAAATTTTATAATATTGTACATACCAATTATTCTATAATCATATTAAAAATTTTAAGGACAACTTATATTAATGAGAAGTAAATTTAAACTTTATACTCTACAACTACAAATCAATTATTAATCTTATAGAAAAATTATCAATATAATATGATGAAATTAAAACTTAAGAAGTTTCTATGTAAAAGAATTAAATTTATAGAAATTAAAGAATTTTTTTATTTATTTTTATTTACAACATAGTCATAAAATAATTGATTTTTATCATTTGATATTTAAATTTAAAATTAAAAAATTATTTAAAATTATTTAAAAATATAATCATAATGTTTATTTCAATAATAAACTATAATTGTATAACCAAATAAATATAGAAAATTAATAAAATTTATTATATTTACAATAAAGTTATGAAATAAATATAAATATAAAATAATTGAACTATTTTTATCACTTTAATTAACAAAATTATTAAAGAAATAATTTTAAATATCATATAATTTTATAAATATTTTAAAGTCTTGAATTACTTTATGTGATCTTTAATTGTGCATTAATCGTTGTATAATATATACTCATACTTTAACGAATTCGAATAAATTACTTAGTTATCATGTAATTTTACATATATAATGATATAACTTATTTGTAGCAAAAATGCATATCTAAAAAGGAAAAAGTGTTTTTAGAAGTTTAATTATTATATATAATTGCTTTATTTATTTATTTATTCTTATATTTATCAATATATTTTCATAATTTAATTTTTAAAATAGTTAATTGAGAAATATCATATTATGTGTTAGCGTAATTTTAATTTATTTTGTGATTAAACTTCTACAATTCATTTGTATAATTACATAAAACATGATATGATATTATATATTTTAATTAAATAATTTTGACTAAAAATAAAATGATCCATTTTTATGATATTATAATAATTCATAAATATGAATTTGTCTTACATTTTTTATTTTGTATGTATTTTTATTTTATTTTATTTTAATTTAATATAAAATTGCTTAAACAATAATTATTTCACAAGTAAAAATAATATATAAAAAAAAATGGTGCATATGCACATGTTACTTATCAGTATCTAATAAAAAAAACTAACGTATCCAAATATATTTTTTTCAACAATAATTACCATAACAATAAAAAAAAAAATCTTTGATAACAAAATTTAAATTAAAAACCTATGAATACTGTCCAATATTCTACGCAACTGGCAAACGTATTCGCGTTGTTCTAGGCATATACGACGTTCGGGCACCATTTTGAACACGCACCACTAAAAGCCACGTGCATGATTGCAGTGCCGCTAGAATACGTAAGAATACATAAGTAAGAACAATTAGTTGTGTGGTGGACGTAGAACTAGAACTAAACGGCACGTTCAGATTTGGTCTCTCTGCGAAACCAACACGTGTTGAACATGCACTTCCAACACGCTTATCTCTCGGGACACACGCTCAAACGACCAACTCAACGCTTGAAAACTCTGAAAACACGAATCCTCCTCCAATCTCCATCAAAAACAAAATGAGTCATGCACAACCAGAAAAAACAATGAGTCATGCACAACCAGAAAAGGACACCAAATACGGCGTCGTTTTGGAGCCGGCTGTTCCAACCGGACTCGGTTCAGCGGCCATAGATGGTGACCCGATAACCATCGGAGAAACCCTGGAGGCGGTGGCTGTATCTGTCGGCAATAAAGCGGTGGACCAAAACGACGCTGATGCAATCGCCGCAGCTGAGATTAGGGCCACCGGAGAGACCACCGTGAGGTCCGGCGGCGTCGGCGAAACGGCACAAGCCGCCGCCACTCTCAACAGTCAGGTCATGCGACCCCAAGACAAGACCAAACTTTCCGACATCTTAACTGTAAGATCTATGCACATATGATTCATTATTAGGTCATATTAATTAGATCTCATACTTTTTAGACTCATATCATACCAAGTGTAAATACTTTTTTATACAATAAAAATTTAACTCATTTACTCATTAATATAGTTTATGTTATTTATACTTAAAATTTTATATAAATTTTAAAATATTTAATTATTTATTATTTTGTTTTATTTTAATATATAATATTATATTTTATTATATATATATATATATATAT